CCCCTCCGCGCGCGGACGTTGTCTCTCTCTCTCTCTCTCTCTCTCTCTCTCTCTCTCTCTCTCTCTCTTGTGCTCGTTTTGTGGCATCGCTGCAGCCAAAGCACGGAAATTCTCCGCGAGTGGACATTGCATTGCGACAAGCCTGTATCTGTACACTACGCGTTGTCCAGTGTCTGTCTAGGTGTCATCGGCTCCAGACTTGCAAGCAACCATTCTAAATTCCTTGTTGCGGAGTCAGCTACAACAGCTTCTTCCGAGCACAACAGAACCAAGGCAGAACCAGGAAGAGTAGTGTTAGGTAGCCACCACCAGGCGAGCAAATCTATTTCGGCTATGGAACACTCAAGCTGTTGCCAGACAGGACTGTACAGCCAGTAGAAAGTTTCAGGCAAGTCAGCAACTTGCAGAAATGCTGACTATGGAACACAATAGGGCACGGCCAGAGAGTTTGAAGCCAACAAGTTGCAGAATTGCTCAATTCTTGCCGAAATCTGCTAAAAACTGATAAACTTTGCATACTCGCGGGGTAAGAAAACGTGCAGAAACTTGTCCACAAGCTTGCAAGGATTCGTGCAATCCAGCGTGTTGTGATCCCATCGGTTGCGAATCGATTTTACGAGATTGGATGTTAGGGCAGCCCCATTAAAGAAGGAGCTGTCTTGGGCGCCGAGCTGCGCCGGCGAACCCTAAACCCTAAAACCCTAAACCCTAAAACCCTAAACCCTAAACCCCTAAAACCCTAAAACCCTGAACCCCTAAAACCCCTAAAAGCCCTCAACTCTACGAAAGGCATCCGTGGACCCGAGACCGGGGCTTCCCCGTCCGAAGCCGGCCGCACACCATGGCCTCGGGCTCCAAACGCACAAAAGAGCCGACAAGGCGGCCCAGAGCCGAGGTCGAAGTTTGTGGTAGATAGACTCAGATAGACTATAGAGTCTAATGTCTGTAACTCTTGCTTATAACTCTTATCATTATTCTCCTTGCTATTAGTATTGCCATTTTTGACTTAATTTTTGAGATCATAGTATGTTATATGGAAGTATATTACGTGCATTACACTGATGGCGGAAGGCAGATGTGGCTTTCGTGAACTTGGCGACTCAGCTGTTGGCTACATTGACGTGCTTCGTCTCGCTCTTGAGAATGTCATTGGCCTGGCTCCGCCACAGGAATTTTTTAGCTGCCAAGGACTCAACATTTCGAGTGATACGAGTAGGAAGAGAAGGAACAGCCCCAGCCTGGACTCGTCATATCTCTGACCAATTGGCTGGGGTCCAAAATAATGGTTCTGAACGGCAGTAGAACCCGTAGTTGCCCGAAGCCAAATCCAAAAGACCAACACACCAGTCAAAGACCTTCAGCCAGAAATAGCCAGAATAAGGACAACCGTCCGGGCCAATTGAAAAGACCATCAACAAAACCCCCAGCAGCAGCAGCCAAAAAGTCGAAGAGCCTCCCACAAACTGCGCCAAAAAGAGCCCATTTCCGGGGGCCTCCTCCTGGACGACCAACCTGGGAGGCACTGGGATTCTCGCGGCCTACGTTGAGGACCCTTGGTTTAGGTTTGGTCTTCGGGCTCGCGATTCGAAGCTCCAAGGCTTCCGGGATTGAATCTCCCATTTTGGTCACAAGGTCGTGGGATTGGTGGCATTTAGGAGTTCGAGAGTTGGTATGGAAGGTTGGGACATGCAGATGAAGTTGGTGGAAGTTTGGGAAATGCATCAGGGGTGTCTTGCATGGTACTGGACGCCTCTGGGGGCTGAATGTGGCATCGCGGCTTTAAGACTTTGAGACTGAGTGTTCGGACTGCAGCTTCAGAGCTTATGGTGGCCGCGAAGGGTCTGGAGTCGTGTGAGGTAAATAACACAAGGCCCTCCTGTCGACCCCTTTTCCGGCAGCTCGGGGGGGAGAGACTTGGGGCTCCAATCTTACAGCCGACTAACCCAGAAGCTCCGAACTTCGCTCCGACTGTCGACCATGCCAATGTTTGTTGGAAAATCAGAAATTATGGACTCCAGAACTCATCGAGGTTCGCACTGGCTCTCTTTCTGCAGCAAAAGCCACTTCAACACAGGCGTGCTGACCTCGAGAGCGGCAAAGAGGAGGAGAGGCGATGATGACGCCGCAGGAGCAGCAGATAGCAGCCGCAGCAACATAAGGAAACCTCTCCCCAGCCAAAGCCAATCGGCAAACCGCATCATGGCTAAAGTGCGTCTACCTAGGCAGAATACCATCCTGAAGAGCCTAGCCTCGCAGAGCCTCTTGAACTTTCATTCACAGAGCCACAAAGCGGACCTCCTCGGGGCTTGAGGCCTTCATCGAGCCCATGGCTTTGAAAGCAAGGGCAGAGGAGGATCCCAGAATCTCTTTGCGACTTGGGGGCTTTTTGCAGGGCATGCCAGGGCCTAACCAGATTGGTCCACGGGCTGCCAAAGAACTAACTGATTTGCACAAGCATTCGGGGCTTCAAGGGGTTTCATGGGAGATAAGACCAGGACTACGGTCACATATCTCGTAGAGCCCCTCAGCTTCGACGCCAATGGCCATCCATGTATGGGGATGATCTGCTGCAACCTGTATTGCGAGATCCTCGTCCGACTGATTGCAGCTTCTGTCTGGGACTCTCTCGCCAAAGTGCGAACGAGCTTGCCTCCTTCGCCGCTCCACCGCTTCTGGCCGAGTTAACATGCATGGAGCGTCTCCACTTCCACGATTCGACGATTGCACGGTGCAGGCACCATAACTATAACCGCAGACTGAAGGAAAGAACCGAAACCCTACATTGCACCGCAAACTGAAGTCATCGTACACAACAAACTCAAACCAAAACGAAAGACTGCCTCACCTGCACAGGATCGTGCAATCCACCATTATCACTACAGGACATAAACGCGATCAAGGCTGCGACAACTGAGTGACTGGACCCTTACTGGGAGCCCGGCACCTAAGAGTCACATGGGAAGACTGGCAACTGCAGTGAAAACTGAACATCACATAAGGACATCACAAGGGTTGCAAACAGTCTAGGATTGAGTAGACCGCTCGGCCGAATGCTCAACTCTCGATAAGTGTCAGTACTGCCGTGGCTCACATGTACAACTGTGTTTCTTTTTTCCTTAGCAGGAAACAGTCAGTTGATACAGGGCCTTGCCCCACCTGTGTTGCAACCCTGAGCGGTAATCCAGATTTTTAAGGGCTTTTGGTGTCGCTTAGCAAGCGTTTGTCGTCAGAAGAGGTGTCCGGCGCTTGGACGGAACATGGACAACAGAGGCCACCAGGCACCACAGAAGCCAGTTTGTAGCGCAGCACAACCCAGACCATGCCAGGGCTCTGTTCCTCCACAACTGTGAGCTCATGGCTGGTCACTGCACTGTCAGCAAACTGCTCCTGCCGTGGCTCCGGCCTCGCCGTCATGACACCAGATCCGTGCTGCGGACTCAGGGACTGCCAGGACCCATGAATTTGCTTCTTCAGATTTCTTCACAATTTCCCTCCTGGCACTGGGCTGACACCGCGTGCGCGAGATGGAATTCTTTCTCAGCTGAGCCACGTACCTTAACGTTGCATAGACACCTTCAGTGACAGCCATGCCCAACCATGTAGTGCATGCTGAGGATGCCATCCGTTTCACAGACCGGCTGACGTCCTGCTGAACGCTGTCTGCAAAATGCCATGCAACGATGAGGATGCAACATGAATCCTCATGCCAAGTGATTCGGCATAGACCACTGGCCAGAACGGCGAAAGCTCATTTGCTGCCACCTTGCGGGCTCATGAAGACATGCCATTAAGTCAGATCAGAAACCCTTCAACACAGCGGCCTTTTCTGTAGGACCTCTTCAAGCACCGGATCCAACGGCATCCCAATCACATGTCAACATCTGCGCACCTCCAAAGAACTGCTTCAGCAACTCCCGGTTTGCCACGATGGTACCACCCAGGACCCGGTCCTGGCGGGAGAGAGTTTCGCTGTGTGCTGTGTAGCCTCCTTCAGCGTTCAGTTACTGCGTGCTGTGTAGCCTCCTTCAGCGTTCAGTTACTGCGTGCTGTGTAGCCTCCTTCAGCGTTCAGTTACTACACTTACGACACACCGGCGCGACTCTACCAAACAGAGACTATACCATGCATCCGGACGGCCTCAGGTCTTAGCTCAGGTGACTCGTGCTTTTCATTTTTACCCGACGGCCTTGGGGCCGGGCACCGTCCGTGGGCTTTGAGCAGCGCAGGGCTCCCCCTCCTCGCCCTTCGGGGAGAGCGGCCGGCAGGGCACTCCTAGGCGACGCGGCGAGGATCGCGGCGAGGACCGCGAGGACACTGCATGCGAGGGATGCGGCGAGGACATCGCTTGGAAAAGGCGCTGAATCTCCACGACCCGCGCATCCACGTGACGCACCGAGGCCTTCGCTACGGGCTTCGGCCGGATGTGAGACTGTGTGAGATCGAGGTATTCTTGCCGGGACATGGGCCGGGTTGCTTCAGCCTCGGCCACCTTCTGCTTACCAGTGTTCAAGTCCACGATGGCAACTCCGGGAGAGAGCTCCACGGTCTCCAGCACCGGAGGTTGGTACACCAATGTCCGCTGTAACCACTCCTCTGCATTCTCCCGCTGGTTCGGCTCCAAGAGCGCCGGCTCGGGAGGACCTGATGCTTCTCTAACAAAAAACCGACTGACGATGTCCCCGTCACGCAACTTTCAAGCAGCCCTGTCCTTGCCGTTTGACGGCTGAACCTGCGGCCGAGGGCTGCGCAGGATCGCCAGAGGCGTCTGCACTCTGCTCCATGGCTCCCTACGCAAGACATCAGCGGAGTCCTCCTCGTAGACTCCGCTGCTAAAAAGGCATCTTTAGAGCGCATAAACAAACTAAACATGTACTCAAAGCTGTGAAAGTCCTGATTGCCCGCTGGTACAAGACCAACCATGCTCAAACAACCGCCGCACTCCTAGCTCAGACGCCAAAACTGGACGACGCTTCTTTTTTCGTCGTGTGGATGGTAGCGCTGCAAGTGCCGTTCGGCGTGCAGGTTCTGATCCAACGGCCGGCGCCGGGTGCGCACATCAGCACCGGCCCGCCGAGGATAGACCGCCGCCGAATTCCCTTTGAGGGTGGCGTGGGTGGGTCTGAAAAAGCTGAAGGCGTCGAGCGTCGAGCCAGAGTGCTTAGGCAGCTACGCCGTTTGCGGTTGTTCATGCGCACATGCTGTGCTTCACAACAACCGCCGCACTCCTAGCTCAGACGCCAAAACTGGACGACGCTTCTTTTTTCGTCGTGTGGATGGTAGCGCTGCAAGCGCCGTTCGGCGTGCAGGTTCTGATCCAACGGCCGGCGCCGGG